CCATGGAGGGAGGAGCCTTGGTAGGCTGCAGTCCATGGGGTCGCTAGGAGTCAGACACAACTGAGTGACTTCACTTTCAGTTTTCACTTTCATGCGTTGGAGAAGGAAATGGCAACCCACTCCAGTGTTCTTGCCTGGAGAATCCCAGGGGCGAGGAAGCCTGGTGGGCTGCCGTCTGTGGGGTCGCACAGAGTCGGACACGACTGAAGCGACTTAGCAGCAGCAGCAGCAAGTGGTTAAATGATGAATAAGGCGATATCAATCCTAGAGGGAAATTTGGAGCAGGGAATGTCAGATGGATTAGAGACACTACAGATAAAAAGAAAAGCCAGAAAATTATCCTAGTTACCATCAGGTCATCCTTGCTTTATGTGGTTATAATAATACACAGATTGCAGTTACCACAGTTTAGTTAAATGACACCAATTCCTTAACATCAGTTTTGATTTCAATTACCATTAGCTTCCCTGGTGGCTCAGATGATAAAGCATCTGCCTGCAATGCGGGAGATCCAGGTTTGATCCCTGGGCGAGGAAGATCTCCTAGAGGAGGAATGGCTTAGCTGTGAATAATTGCATGAAGTAGAAACCTCACTACTAGATTTTCAGTTCATAAATCACTACATAAATAACATATATGCATCATAACCAATCACCTCACTTACGTCAGTATCTATTGGTGATTGGCCACCACACATCAGTTATTTGGTTCACACGCAGACAACAAAGCCTATAGTTGTGTTTCCACCTTCTCTTCCAGTGACAAACGTGCATAACATTTGAAAAACGGATGACCAAAAAGAAAACTGGATAAATGTTGAATTCAACAAAGTAACAAATTTATAAAGCTACGAGTGAACCTACACAGTATTTTAGAAGAAATAGCTATCTATGGAAATGTTGATACTGTCACTGAGAGACTATAGTGTGCAGCTGGAGGAACTCAGTGAAAGCAAAATAAGTGACACAAATGAAGAAAGTGGTTGTGGTATAAAGGATGAAGATGTCCCAGAAGAAGGCACACTGGCAAAAAAAAAAAAAAAATCCTCACATTAAAGAAGCTGTCAGAGGTATTCCATGACATTGAAAGCACAAAGGATAGTCAGTAGCCAATGCAGATTTGAAAAGGAATTCACCAAACAATTCACCAAAACATAATAAAGATGCTCACACTATATTGTATGTAACGCAATAAGAGGACAGCAAGCACTGTTCAAACTGCACTTGGTAAGATTTCTACAAAGAAAAAAGCTCTTTACTGTTCAGTGCTTCAAATGTTTCAAATTTAATTACCATTAAATAACTGAGTTTTATAATTTTCAGTTTCCCTGTATTTTTATAACCCATAGGAAAAAGTGTTTACTGTTATTAAAAAAATTTCAAGATCCCAGAACAATTGTTATTTTCCCCATTTGAGTGATAAGATTGCTTTTCATGGTCTCTATTTGAACAGTCATTTTTATGGGTCTCTCACTACCATGCCCAGCAAAGATTGCCTGTATATCAGAGGTAGGTGTGCAGCAGTGGGGAGGAAAACAAAATGGTAGGTATGAAATGTAGCAAAACTGGAGGACCATGATTGAGTGGTTGTGAAGAATGATGTTGGAGATGATGGTAGGTGTGTTTAGCAGCTATAAAAATAAGCACAAAAATGTTATTAGAAGAAAAAAATAAGGAAGAACATCTCTGTGTGGAGACAGATTCCAAGAAAAGCTTGGTTTAGAAAAAAAGTTGTGAGCTTTGGAAGCAGCATAATTATTTAGGAAAGGTTCAGTTATGTGAAATATCAGATATGACATGAAAATTTGGCTATTTGTAATACAATTGGGAGGATAGGCATATGAACTATTGTTGGTACCAGTAAAAGGAATACTTTCCATTCCCTTACCATTTCATGTACCAGTTACCATTTATTTAGTGGGACAAATGTATCTTTTAAAATCTATATTTAAAAGCAAAGTAGAAGAGCTTCTGAATTTTCTAAATCTGGCTGGTTTGGGCATGATTTTTTAAAAAGAAATCCTTATTGAGAATTTGCCTCTTAGATGATGATTTTCACCTTTCTATATCTAAAAGAGATATCATTTCAGAATTAAGACCAGCAAAGTCAGTTAGAAGAACACTTGTCAGGGTGTCCTAGGGATCAGAGAAAAGAAAAACTCATTGTAGTGGAGGAATTATAAGGAAGAAGAATTAGACAGCTGAAATAGAAGACTCTGCCCAGCAGGAGGAAATTGGAACTGATAGGTTTCTGTCCTTCCAGAGCTTCAACTAGAAAGGCTATTGTTCTGTTGGGTAAAGAACAGTCATCATTCACCACGGTTGGTTGACATGATTTATTAAGTTGAATCAAGTACAGAAAAGAAAGGTTATTTATGATAGGCCAGATTCCATGAGTGGGAATTTCTTGGAGTCAAATAGGAGAGAATACGCCCTTGTGTTAAAGACTTTCCAGAGGCCTCTTCCACTCCACTTTCCGCCCCTCCCAAGGTCACTCGCCAAAGAAATACTTTGCTGGACACAGAAGTGGCCACAGCTGTGGTCATAAGGAAACATCAGGGTATGAAATGAATCATTCTCTCTTTTAGTTAACTTTTTTTGGAGTATGTAGACAGGGTAAAGGACAGGTGCTGGTTAAGACAATAAACATCACTAAAGTGTTTAGAAATGCTGCCAGTTTCCACGAACAAAATCTTGCCAAAGAGCTGTAATTATTTGTTAGGTCAATGAACTAAAATTTTCCCAGTATCAGTATTAAGCAAAAAGGTCATTAATGCTTTGTGAGTGTGTGTGTGCTAAGTTGCTTTAGTCGTGTCCGACTCTTTGCGACCCCATGGACTGTAGCTCACCAGGCTCCTCTGGCCATGGGGATTCTCTAGGCAAGAATACTGGAGTGAGTTGTCATGCCCTCTTCTAGGTAATCTCCCCGACCCAGGAATAGAACCCACTTTCTTATGTCTCCTGCATTGGCAGGTGGGTTCTTTATCACTAGCGCCACCTGGGAAGCTCCATTAATGCTTCAGGGGACTATAATGAGTTTGAAAGAGGGTTGACTTGATCCTCCCCTTCCACAGTCCTCTATCAGATTACCCAGTGATCTTCCTCCACCACCAGACTCCTGGATGGCTGAAGCAGGACCAGCAACTGACTCCCTGACCACCCATGCAGGGTTTGCTGTTACCCTCCACCCAAACTGGCAGGGTCTTCTGTGACTTATGTAGATTCATCCCCAGGTGAGGATCACTACCTCCCTACGCTTCCTTCAAAAAGCAGCCTGAGATCAGCTCTCTACCCTGGCTATGAAAACAGAGAAATTAACTACAGTCTTTTATTCTATCAGAGTTGGACAAAATCTGCAACTCCATGCAAGTGTCCCAAACATCTAGGATTGCAAGTATGGAGACAGGTCCTTCAGTCATAACAGAATCCCAGTTTTGCTCATGAAGAAGGGGGACAGACCCACAGATAATACAGGTGCTTGAACTCACGTGTTGTCCCCAAAGTTGGAGTTGTTTTCTAATTCTAAAGGGCTAGCTTTGGTGACCCTTTTTCCATAGATGCCATCTCTAAGAGGCTTGACAATAGACTACAATGTTCTAAACTTGTAATATAACCAGGATATGTGTGGGGGGGTGTATTTTTTAAATCCCACCGCCTACAATGTAGATATTATTTTTGTTGCACAAATATGATAAATGAGGTTTACTGATTTTCTCAAAAATATCTACTTAAGTTTGCCTGACTGCCAAGAGTTCCAGGCAATAAGAATTCATTTCCTTGCCTTTTACTCATCATCCTCCAAAGCAAATCATCGCCTAGTGACACATTGATCATGCTGCTCTTTGAGCCCCTCCTCATGAGATTCTAAAAATCTGCTTTTCCCCATATCCTGAACTTTTCCCCACAGTAATTGCAGTGATCACCTCCCCATTTCAGTCCATCTTACATGTTACACACAATCTCTCATGAAAATAAATGCCTAGTTGCAAATAATCCCTTTCAGTTGATTTGTAGATTAATATTTAACACCACCCAAAACTCAGCTGTTTTTTTGTGATTCAGACCTAGTGCTCATACAGTAGTCTTCATCCACTGTAATTTTTATTTTCAATACCAATATATATAACCTGATATTAAAAATAATTTTGCTGTCCTTTTAAGAATTTAAGTTCAAGTATAAAGAACATATAAACTTGTAAAGGAAGTTTATTATGTAAGAAATTCATTATGAGAGTTTACTGATAACAATTATCAATGAGTTTCTGCATTTTATGAAGGAATGGTGACATAATCCAAATACATATTGTTAAGTTAAATATCATTTCCACCACAAGAAAAATATCCACGCACCCCTACTTTTCTCCTAATATAAAACTCTTGATGTGGCTTCCGCAACTGCTGTTGGCTCTTAAATCTTCAGCTGACCACACTCAAGGTTCCAAACACACACTCTACCTCACACCCCATGCAGAGTTACCGCCTCTGCATCCACACAGCTGATCTCCAAGGGGTGTATTAACAGTCACAGGATCTAATTCCCACATCTTGTCCTGAGAGCTGATTTATGATCCCAATAAAGATTTCAACAAAAATATGAGGGTAAATTACTCAGAGGAATTTGATTTAAAATGTTGCCCTGAAATTCCCCATTCACCACCCCATCTATCATGGGTCAAATTAAAAGCACACATGAGCTAACATTACAGGGTCTAACAGGGTGAAAATGTTTTGGAATTAGTAACAATCCCTTCCTCACAGTGTATTATCTCTGAAATTCCTTTCTGGAACAATGATCTTGATTTGCACTTTTAAAAAAAATAAACAGGCAAAACTGTTAATAAAAAATAGTGAGTGGCTAAGGACACTCTGAAAATAGACATCAAGGACTTCAACTTCTGAGAAGAGAGATTTACTTTGAATCATTTTAGCAAACAAGAAAGCTTTACAATATTAATAAATTTCAGTTTCTGGTGTAAAAGGTGACTGGCTTATCCCTGACAGATCCTCACCCAACTTTCCCTTGGAACATCCATGAAGATGCAGACAAGGTTGAAAGTGTACATCACTGCTCAAATACCAGGAATGGAAGCCAGCTTGGTGTCAGAGCTGGGAAAGATTTCCACCCACAGGCCTTTCAAGCTCAACTGAGAAGCACGATCAGTGGCTCAAGCATAGACACAAAGTAAATCTAAAGGCCTGAAAAATGGTCAAAGATGTTTTGTCTTGTTCCTCATTTCGTTAAGAATATTGGACTGCTTTTTATCTAGTTCATGGCATTGCTTCAGAAGCAACCAAGTGACATCTCTGTTCTTTTTTTAATTTTTTTTTATTAGTTGGAGGCTAATTACTTTACATCATTGCAGTGGTTTTTGCCATACATTGACATGAATCAGCCATGGATTTACATATGTTCCCCATCCCGATCCCCCCTCCCGCCTCCCTCTCCATCCCATCCCTCTGGGTCTTCCCAGTGCACCAGCCCTGAGCACTTGTCTCATGCATCCAACATGGGCTGGTGATCTGTTTCACCCTTAATAGTATACTTGTTTCAATGCTATTCTCTCTGAACATCCCACCCTCGCCTTCTCCCACAGAGTCTAAAAGTCTGTTCTGTATATCTGTGTCTCTTTTTCTGTTTGCATATAGGGTTATCATTACCATCTTTTTAAATTCCATATATATGCATTAGAATACTGTATTGGTCTTTATCTTTCTGGCTTACTTCACTCTGTATAATGGGCTCCAGTTTCATCCATCTCATTAGAACTGATTCAAATGAATTCTTTTTAATGGCTGAGTAATATTCTATAATGTATATGTACCACAGCTTCCTTATCTATTTGTCTGCTGATGGGCATCTAGGTTGCTTCTGTGTCCTGGCTATTATAAACAGTGCTGCGATGAACATTGGGGTGCATGTGTCTCTTTCAGATCTGGTTCCCTCGGTGTGTATGCCCAGGATCTCTGTTCTTTTTGATTCCCCACTCAAGTCCTGAAAATCATAAGACCTGCCTCATGCATTAATGTCCTGCTCTTTACCTTTCCATAACAGTTTTAAAAGGCTAATTATGAAAGTACTATCTGCCTATTAGGGAAAATTTGGAGAGTCAGGAAAGTTGCAAAACAATCACCAGAGATAGCTGGCATGGATATTTTAGCCAACTGTGTGTACTTTTATGTAGCTAAGCCCTTTAACAGCCCTTGGTGCTGCCTGTCAAATCTGGTTCCAGTCACTCACCTATCCTCTTAGAGGTTTAGCATTCTCTTCTCTTTCCTTAATATACTTCCCTGGTAGCTGAGATGGCAAAGTGTCTGCCTACAGCGTGGGAGATGATCAATCCCTGGGTCAGGAAGATCTCCTAGAGAAGGAAATGGCACCCACTCCAGTACTCTTGCCTGGAAAATCCCATGGATAGAGCAGCCTGGTAGGCTATAGTCCGTGGGGTCACAAAGAGTCAGACATGACTGAGTGACTTCTCTTCACTTATTCTCTTTCCTTAAACCTCAACATTCCCTCTTTGCTTCCAACCTCACCTGAAAACTCTGCTTCTTATACAGAAGCAATCAGAACAGAGATTTCTACAAAATGCACCAGGTGCAGGCATTGTCCATGCCCTTTGCCTTTTCAAACCTTCTATTTTGCACTGAATCCCATTTCTCTCTTCTTAAAAACTTTGCTTCTGTAATTATTTCCATCCCTGTCTCACCACTCCCCTACCTTCCTTAATGAGTCATTACCAAAGGGAAATATATGCCATAATATCTCCATTTTAGAAAAGCTTTGTCTTGACCCCATATCTCTCTCAGCTCCTTCTCAGTTTTAAGCTTTCCCCTGGACAGAAAAGTGCTTGCAAGGGTTGTCCATGATCAGTGTTTGTTCTTATTCTCTTATGTTCTCTCTACAGCCCAGTTCAACCTGGGCAATAATCACAACCAAGTTACTAAATCCAATAATCAGAGTTCAGGCCAAAGATAACTTGACCTTGCATCAGCTTTTGAGATTGTTGATCACTCTGTTCATCTTCATATACTTTCTTTACTTAGTTCTTTTTTTTTTAAAGAAAACATTTTTAATCTTATAGTACAGTACCTTGAATATTACAGTAACACAGTACAACAGCTGATTCTTAGCAGTGCCAGCCACATCACTGTTGTTTTTATAGGTTTTTTTCTTTTTTAATTACTTTATTTTAATTGGAAGATAATTACAATATTGTAGTGGTTTTTGCCATACATCAATGTGAATCAGCCATGGGTGCACGTGTGTCCTCCCATCCTGAACCCCCCTTCCACCTCCCTCCCCACCCCATCCCTCTGGGTTGTCCCAGAGCACCGACTTTGAGTGCCCTGTTTCATGCATTGAACTTGCACTGGTCATCTATTTTACATATGATAATATACATGTTTCAGTGTTATTCTCTCAAATCATCCCAACCTCACCTTCTCCTACATAGTCCAAAAGTCTGTTCTTGACATCTGTGTCTCTTTTGCATACAGGGTCATCGTTCCTATCTTTTTAACTTTCATATAGTTAATATACTGTACTGGTGTTTCTCTTTCTGACTTACTTCACTCTATATAATAGGCTCCAGTTTCATCCACCTCATTAGAACAGAGTCAAATGCATCCTTTTTAATAGCTGAGTAATATTCCATGGTGTATATGTATCATAACAACCTTATCCATTCATCTGCCGATGGACGTCTAGGTTGCTTCCATGTCCTAGCTATTGTAAACAGTGCTGCAGTGAACATCGGGGTACATGTGTCTCTTTCAATTCTGGTTTCCTCAGTGTGCATGCCCAGCAGTGGATTACTGGGTCATATGGCAGTTCTGTTTCCAGTTTTTTAAGGAACCTCTACACTGTTCTCCATAGTAACTGTATCAATTTGCATTCCCACCAACAGTGTAAGAGGATTCCCTTTTCTCGACACCCACTCCAGCATTTATTGTTTGTAGACTTTCTGCTGGTGGCCATTCTGACTGGCATGAGATGATACCTAATTGCAGTTTTGATTTGCATTTCTCTGATAATGAGTGATGTTGAGCATTTTTTCATGTATTTATTAGCCATCTGTATGTCTTATTTTTGTTGGAGAAGACTCTTGAGAGTTTCTTGGACTGCAAGGAGATCCAACCAGTCCATCCTAAAGCAGATCAGTCCTGGGTGTTCATTGGAAGGACTGATGCTGAAGCTGAAACTCCAGTACTTTGGCCACCTCATGCAAAGAGTTGACTCATTGGAAAAGACCCTGGTGCTGGGAGGGATTGGGGGCAGGAGGAGAAGGGGATGACAGAGGATGAGATGGCTGGATGGCATCACTGACTTGATGGACATGTGTTTGAGTAAACTCCGGGAGTTTGTGATGGACAGGGAGGCCTGGTGTGCTGCGATTCATGGGGTCACAAAGAGTCAGACACGACTGAGCAACTGAACTGACCTGAACTGATGTCTTCTTTGGAGAAATGTCTGTTTAGTTATTTGGTCCAATTTTTGATTGGGTTGTTTGTTTTTCTGGTATTGAGCTGCATGAGTTGCTTGTATATTTTGGAGATTAATTCTTTGTCGGTTGTTTCACTGGCTATTTTCTCCCATTCTGAAGGCTGCCTTTTAATCTAGCTTATAGTTTCCTTTGTTGTGCAAAATCTTTTAAGTTTGATTAGGTCCCATTTTTTATTTTTGTTTTTATTTCCATTACTCTGAAAGGTGGGTCATAGATGATCTTGCTGTGATTTATGTCAGAGAGTATTCTGCCTGCATTTTCCTCTATGAGTTTTATAGTTTCTGATCTTACATTTCGATCTTTAAAATCCATTTTGAGTTTATTTTTGTGTATGGTGTTAGAAAGTGTTCTAGTTTCATTCTTTTACAGGCGGTTGACCAGTTTTCCCAGCACCACTTGTTAAAGAGATTTTCTTTTCTCCACTGTATATTTTTGCCTCCTTTGTCAGAGATAAGGTGTCCATGGGTGTGTGGATTTAACTCTGGGTTTTCTATTTTGTTCCATTGATCTGTATTTCTGCTCTTAGTACAGTGACTGGCACATACTGTCTTGATGACTGTGGTTTTGTAGTATAGTCTGAAGTCAGGAAGGTTGATTTCTCCAGTTCCATTCTTCTTTCTCAAGGTTGCTTTGGCTATTTGAGGTTTTTTGTGTTTCTATAAAAGTTATGAAATTATTGGTTCTAGTTCTGTGAAAAATACTGTTGGTAGCTTGATAGGGATTGTGTTGAATTTATAGATTGCTTTGGATATTATACTCATTTTCAATATATTGATTCTTCCAATCCATGAACATGGTATATATCTCCATCTATTTGTGTCATCTTTGATTTTTTCATCAATGTTTTGTAGTTTTTTGTTTCTTTAGGTAAACTTATTCCCGAGTATTTTATTCTGTTCACTGCAATGGTGAATGGGATTGTTTCCTTAATTTATCCTTCTGTTTTTTCATTGTTAGTATATAGGAATGCACAGGATTTCTGTGTACTTAGTTTTTATGACAACACTAACACACTCACTTGCTTTTCAGTTTACTTCATTGCCCCTTGACTATGCTTAATCCTTATATTCCCAACCAGAGCCTGCCACATTATTTGTAGTATACAGTGAAAAATGAAAATGCAGAGTCCTTATTCAAAAATTGTTAGGAATTTCAGAACAGTGAGAACAGATCATTAAACCAAGCATGGGCCTTTTAAACACAAGGTTCTATGTGACCACATAAGTTGTATACACATGAAGCTGGCCCTATTTCCATCCTTACAGTGGTTCAGTGCCCATGGCTCAGTGCTCCTCTGTTCACACTCGCTCCCTAAATGATCTTATCCAATCCAGTTGGCTTTAGATGCCACATATAGCAATAAGTCCCATTTTATGTTTGACCTTAATCTCTCCATTTATCTCCAAATTCCAGCAGGAAGATATAGGATAGATCTAGAAAGATACATGAAGAATAATCAGTATACTCTTTGTCCTCTTACTCTGTTCTTTTTAATGCAGACTGGTGTTTTATTATAGATATGTATATATGCATAGATATATACTCCTTCATGGCAAGAATGCCATCTTTTATATTTATTGCCATATCACCAGCTCTTAGAACAGTGACTGGCACATAGTAGGCACTCAAAAAATATTTTTGTGA